ATATATATATACATACATACATACATACATACATACATACATACATACATACATACACACACACACACACACACACACACACACATACACATACACATACACAAACAAACAGAATTTGTTCAACTACAGAGCAGCACATTTTGGTACTTTTAAGAAGAGCAACAACAAATAAATAATTAAATAAACATTTACCTTCTGTGGCAAAATATTCAAGATGACATAGAGTTTGCTCCATGTACTGTGAGTCTTTGGATAATCTCTCAAAAATGACATTATCCTGCCAACCAAAAGGTATATAAATAATGACCATAAAGATGCCTACATTTCTTTTTTAGACATATATTCTGTCTATCTATAAGGGATGAAGCTAATAAGGCAGAGACCAGTGATCTTCAAGCCTGACACAATCTTTACCTAAACATGGAATAAATGTCTCTGATTCTCAAGATCAGGAAAATAACAACCAAAAGTCTATTAACTCAAAATACAGGCAGGAAAAAGGCCTAAGCTTTAAACCCTGGACTGACTGTTATAGGATTTAAGTGCTCTGCTATGGAGTAGGCAAATCTACATAGCTATGACTTTTTCCTTGTCTGCAACAAAGCAACTTATCTAGTCATGTTGAGCCTATGAAGCTTCTTCTGCTAGTTACCAGCTTGCTGCAAAGTTGAGTTTCTGGAGAGCCATGCTTTACTACCATGTCTCCTGAGAAGTCTGAGGCTATCCATGATAGCCAAGGTGGTTCAGATTTAAAAAATGTCAAATAATATAGAGATTGTTTTTCATTGTAAGGAACTAGCTCTTATGCTTAATGATAAACTGTAAAACATAGTCCAATCTGTTGGAATGGATATACGGTATAGTCCTTCTCCAAATCACTGACTGATACTATTTAAGCCATTTTTTCCCCAGATAGTTCACTCCAGATATTTTGGGCCCTAACATCCCAAAATCCCACACTGTATGGCTACTGGAAATTTTTGAGCTTTAAAGTATGTATAGTCTTCAGTGATAGTACCAATATTATTAATATTTATACATGCCAAAGAATGTGGGTTACAACACAATTCTCTTGTAAATAGGCAGGAGGTACTTACAGCTCCTTTGCAATACAAACGTAGTCGGCCTTCTGGAGTCCGAACTATTACAGACATTCTTTTTCTGTTACTGGAAAGAGGACAAATGTAATTTAATTCAATATAATTTTTAGAAGTTGTTGTTGCTGTTAATATTTATTAAAAGAGAAGCTAAATAATGGGAGATATTTATGGAATAATTTTGCTTGTATCTCATAAACACAAATTGACAGTAGTTTAGTCAAATAGGTCTGAGATAAAGGTTAGTTAACAAAGTCATAAAAGCAGTAAAGTAAGTGAAGCAGGGCCATAAAGACTGCTAAATTAGGCTTACAAAGAGATATTTCCCTGATTACCTGCTGCATTAAAATGGCCTCTAGCAAGCAAAGACAGACAACTTTTAGCAGATTAACTTTTTCTCATTGGGGTTCTCAGTACAGCACACATGCTACTCAGGAGGAGAGGAGCCAGAAAACAACAGTGAGAACTATTGTCTTTTGTGGGTTTCTCTGCAAGGCAGCCTTACCAAGCTCCATTTCCAGGTGCCACTTCTCCAATTACACTAGCAAAACAATCACATGGGATGAGTTACTATGGATTTCATCAGATCTGTGAAGGGTTTCATCAGATGCCAGACTTTATACATACTGCATACATGGCAACAGAGTAAAAGAAATCTGAGATAGATCCAAAGAAACCCTAACATTTTATAATTATAAAATGATAAGGGTTAATATTAAGTTAGCCTTGACCCTATTGGCCTTTCAGAAAGCCCTAAGACCTGGCATCTTCCCAGGCGCAGGGGTTTGGAGGACACCTGAGCCCAGGTGGGTCGGCAGCTGGTTTCCTTGGTTGTCATAGTATGTCCATCCTTCCCTTTGGTTATTGTTTGATTTGCATAGATTTTAAATGTTTGTTAGCAGCTGAGAGTCGTGTTTGGCCATACAAATTTATTCAATAAATAAATAGAGACAGATGAGATGTTTAGGCCAACAAGTCCAACTTTCTGCTTAGTTCAAGAATCCAAATTAAAGCACCCCATCTAGCAAAAGAGAGACCATGACTTCTCTGGGCAATTCTTTACATTGCCAAAATGTTTTTAATTGATAGAATGCTTTGTTGTTTTTTCCCTAGCATTCACTTCTCCTTGCACAAAGTAAGAGCCTGTGTGGTTCTAGCTTCCCCAAACCAGCACCAGCTTCCTGCGTCAATTCCACAATCAGCGGAATCATCATTTTGGGATACAGCCAGCCATACAGGGATCTAATGCAATTGCTAAGCTCTAATCTAACCCAGGGTTGAAGGGGGTTCACAGAAAGGTAAAACAGCCTTCTGAACATGTGGCTGGGATGAGAATTCTCAGAATTTGGAATGCTCTGAGTTGCCATCCCAACATATCGGGAACATGCTGGACTGACGAAAGATTTAGTACAGATGTAGCCCTTAACATTTTCTAGGGAAATACTTTGATTAGAGCTCTGCAACACTTTGGTTTGAAGTCAAAAAGATGCTTTGGAGATACAAAAGTAGCACCTGACTGCAGTTTCTTCAACCAAACACACTTTTCCCAGGATTGGGTGGCACTTTCAGAGTACCCATGCAGTCCGTGATAGGTGCTGAGCTCATGCCCCACACAGTCCAAAGTGCCTTTTTACCTTCATATCCAAAGCACAGATCTAGTTTTGATATCACTTGGATTTTATAGTTTGAGAGCCTGATTGTGATCACTTTTTTCCTCCATACACATGTAATCTACCCTGGGATGTAAAAAATACAGCTGCTGAAGTATATACCAGTTCACAAATAAATGCAACACTTATGTGGTGGTGGTGTCTGTGTGCATCTAATATTCTGAAGAATCACTTCTCTGTTCTTGAAGAGGTATGTGTAAACTTCATGGTTAGTATTCTAAAACACTCATCTAGGAAATCCAAGTGGAAGGAAAAAACCTTTCTGTATGCAGCAAACCTGAACACGCAAGGAAAAGAAACAGTTATTATGTCTGCACCAAACATGATTTGCTTCAGTATAGTTTGGTGAACAAAGCAAATTTGGGTGGGATCATACAAACCATTATATTATACGCTATAATTTCCTAATGTCAATGACTAGTTAGGAAACACAGGTTAAAGCAAGCCATGTTATTGCTTAGAAAAATGTGCAAACCCTACCAAAGTTTTAAAAAATCAGTACATCGTGGCGTCTAGAAAACAGTGCTGTTAACAACTAGTAGCCATGTCATAGAAAGCTCTAACATCAGAGACTACATTGTTATGATTATTCTGTATTCTGCATGAAAATACTTTTAGTTAGCAGAAACTACATACAGGAAAATAAAAGGCAAAGGGCAAGAATTCCAATATGGTTCCTTATGAGACTAACAAAATGCCAAATACCAGTGGCTGAAGCAAAATACCTGTAATACCATACTTTGACCTAGAAAGGAAGAATGAATGGTTTAGAGCTGTCTCAAGACTTATAAGTAAACGGGGAAATGGCAGATTGGCTTTCAGAAAAAGTATGCTAACGAAGCTATTTCACATCAGATGAGATTCCTAAGTATTCAAAATATTTTTGGATTAGTAGGAAAATAGATCTCTGGATGTACTGGGGTGAGCCAGAACATGTATCTGAATTGCAATTGTCTTCCATAATGCTGTCTTCCAGATGTGTTTGGATTACAACACCCAGAACTTTGGCTGGGAATTCCCAAAGTTGTGGTGGTCCCAATATATCTGTAGGATATCCTGCTGGAAAAAGTTGACCTAATGACTAGCGTCACACACTGTACCAAACTATGATTTGCTTTGCTTAATAGTGGTTTAACCTGTTGTGTGAAGCCAGCCTTTGTGATTTAGAATCCATGGTTTATGATTTAATATGCATGTACCTAGCCAACTGTGGTCTATTCAAAAAAGCCAAGGCTTACTTTGATTACATCAACCTGGTCATAAATTATCTGTAATGTCAGCCTGAATATATAGTTTTTTGTTTTTGTTTTGTCTTGTTTTGTTTTTTGGTGCTTCAAGTCAGTCTTGGACAAGTCCCTGCAGTTTTCTTGGCAATGTTTTTTGGAAGTAGTTTGCCATTGCCTCCTTCCTAGGGCTGAGAGAGAATGACTGGCCCAAAATCACCAGTTGGCTTTGTGCCCAAGGCGGGACTAGTCTCCTGGTTTTTAGCCTGGTGCCAAACCACTACACCAAACTATACATCAAATATATAGTGCCCTAATCATAATGGGACTTACTTCCTAATTTCTGGTATTTATAATTGCAGTGTAAACAATCCTTGCATCTAGTTTAAGGAATGTATTTTTAAATTAAACCACAGCAGATAACATACTGATTGAGAAAGCAAGCATAACAATGTTAAATAAATGTCAGTGCAAATAAGAAACCAAGAAAAATGGACAGAAAAAGCTAATAGTTGGAGGAATTATGTCACAAATTTATGCCAGATTCTTTGAGAAATATGAATCAGCAACAATGAAAACCCAAACAGTCCTTCCTAATTTTCTTTCCTATATAAATGAACTACATGTCATTATTTTTAAAACTAAAATTGCAAGAGTGTATTTTTGCAGTAACTTTTGGGAGAGGGGGCTCGGAGTAACATAACAAATAACAAAAGACTGAAAACTAAATCAAAATATCTCTATTTTCATACAAGTAAAAACTGCATCAAGACAGAGTTGAGGTTCGGAGAGAAGGAAAACCCATATTTTAGATTATTATCTTTTGATCATAATTTATACCAATATGATATGTAAAACATGTTTTAGTATGTCATGTACAACCAACCAATTGTGGTTTAGTCAATGGATGACTATGATTATGCAACCACTTAGCAAATGATTAACATTTTAGCACATAGAAGAGGAATTTCATTGTTTCTATTATAATCTTCAAAAGGTATTGTCAATTCAACTCAATTCTACGTCATATTTTCAGTAGCTGCCCTGACACAATATTTTTACAATGTTATTCTTTTTGTGGACAACACTATTTAATAAGAAATCATGCAGCAAGAGTTATGATGGTCAGGTTTGACTGTGGCACATCATAAAGCTACATTCTTGGTAACGCTAGTTTACAACGAAGGTATTTCTGTACTGCTTCCCAAGACTGAGATACTGAAAAGTGAAAGAGGAATATTTTCAAAGGTTTGCAATATTGCTTCAATCACCTTATCAACCCTTTTCCAATTGCCCCCCTCCCTTTTTTTTGAGGAAGAGTGAAGAAGAAAGAGATTAGTCACAGGATTTCCAACATGAAATGTAGGTCAACATTTAGTTTTACCCAACCAGTATGAGGGATAGAACCAGATTTTGCCTTGCGTAGAACATCTGTCTCTAATTGCTGTAAAAATCAGAATTACTAAGAAACAATATCAAGAATAGCCTAGAATTATATTTCCAGCAACCGTACTTGTCATTTAGCTATTCTAAGAAAGTAAGTAATATTGGGAGAAGGGGGAGAGAAAATTGTTTCTGTGCTATTAATTTGTTCTGAAATTCTCCAAGTGAGGTTCAGTAAGACTGATGGGCTGGTTATTTGCAGTAAGAAAATACTGTATATACTTGCATATAAGCCGACCCTTGAATTTTTAACCCAAATATCATGAAAAAATGAGCCACCTGTGAATAAGCTGACCCCCATTTTTCATCGTATTTTGGTTAAAAATTCAGGGGTTGGCTTATATGCCAGTATATATTGGAAATACAGGTAGTTTAAAAAAGTATTACCATATATACTCACAAATAAGCCCATCCATGAATAAGCCAAAGCCAATTTTTGGGGTGATTTTTGGCACCTAAAATTCTCAGCTTATCTGCAAGTATATATGCTAACCATTTTTTTCATCTTAGTATCTAAGGAACTGATGAACATGAAAACAAAATACTGATATTTTTCTACCTGAAAATCCTGGCAGCCCCATTGTCTCTTCCTGTGGTACAGCTTGTTCTACAGTCCAATCTGGTCACTGCTCCCAGTAGTGACATTATCTTATTAGTTAACATGCAAATGCATATATATTGACTTGGAAGATACCAAGTATGTGGTCCATGGAATAAGCATGCACAACGCCTCCACTTTGTTGCTGGGAAGGAGAGAAGCCTCTGCTTCTAAAACAGCATTTTACATCCTGGGTTTTCCCAGATATAGTCTGATGATAAGTTCCATTAAACTTGATCACCACCATGCAGGCTTTAAATCAGTGTTTTTCAAACTTGGCAATTTTAAGATGGCTGGGGAATTCTGGGAGTTGAAGTCCACACATCTTAAAGTTGCCAAGTTTGAAAAACACTGATTTAGATGAAGGGGTTTACATCACAGAAGCTCTAGGACATGAGGTAGGGGAAAATCTATTTTAAATCATCAGTAGATAGAGGGTGGGTCCTGAATTTGCTCACATTATGGGAAGGATTCCTAAGCTGATTTCTACTCGTGAGATACTCTGGTCAGTAGAATGACAGCTGGGGCCTTTCCTCATTTCTCCCATTCCCTCTAAAGGACCTTTGTGACTGCCTCATTCTATTCTGGGCAGCTGGGGATCCTCTGCAACTTTCAGTAACTGTAAGGGAAGGCAGATTACCTATTCGTTTTCTGTTCTGTCTATGAATGGAAATAGTCCATTTATGGATGCCAAGTAGGATCCAACCCACTGAAACCTCTCCAAATCAGGTGCAGCTATATTGCAGCCTTTCAAAGTTTTCAAACAAACTACAATTCCAGCTGAATATAAATTCAGCAAATGAAATGAAACAAAGCAAAGCAAAGAAAATTTCTTTAATTTCAGGGTATTCCTAAGTGTTTTCTTCCTTTTATTTCTTGCAGTTGCCATTAAAAACCAATTACCTTGAAAATTCCAACACATTAAGGATCTCAAACGACTCTTCTTTTCCTAGCTGCAATCATTAAGAGAAATAAGACACACTTTAGTAGAAGAAAAACTAAAAACACATTAAACAACACGAGGTGCAAGGTAAGTGGTCCGTTTTCAAATATCCATATCAAAAATGTGAGAATAGCTCCCTCTTCTGGGTACAACCATGTACTTAGATTCTTAAGAATATTGCAAAGGGAACATTTTCTGTACTCAATATAATGCCATGCCAGGAAAAAAAAATGCTGCGTTGAAAACTGCCTTACAATTTCTTAAAAGTTTTCTTCCTCCATAAAGAAGTCTATGGGTTGTCTACCTTTTTCTCAGTGTATCTAAAACCTTCTTTCCCATTTCTCTTGGTCGTGTTTTTTGAGCTGTTTTTATTGTTGGAGATGGCTCAGGGTGCCATTGGTGTCCTTGTTAACTGTTTAACCCTCCCTGGCTACCCAATCTGGAAAAGCCCAGCAGAAAACAGAATTGCCTCAGGATATTTTCCTTTTGGATTTTATGTGAATCTGACATGATACAATGGGAGAGATTATTATACAATCCAAGGCAGGGTATTCATGTATACACCCCTTGGCCACCTCCAAATTAATTAAGTGGAAGAACATCATAGCCATGACAAATTTTCTTCTCTAGTGAAAGAACATCAAAAGCAAATGCTTTTAAATCAAATTAAATGACAACTGTTACAAACAAGGGAGAAAATGCACCCCAACACTATCTGGAAAAAAAAAATCATTTAGATCATTTTCATTCAATTTGACTGAAAAATATTTCAAAAGCAATTGACTGTGGTATGGAATTCCTATACTCATTTTAAGTTACAATGAGTCTGTGAGGTATAGGTGAGTATCCTGTCTTTCATTATATACACCTAGCAGTTTTCATCCTTATCTTCTCACACATCTACTGAATACCAAAGAAAGGCATTACAAGGAAATACATCCTACAAGACTTTTATGATCAGGAAAGAGAATGAGGCTGTTGGGTGATGGGAGCAACATATCAGTCTGAGAGTTAATTTCTACACCAGTGTTTCTCAACCTTGTCAACTTTAAGATGTGTGGACTTCAACTCCCAGAATT